GATATGGGAACATTTGGGAATGCATGCTATGCTGCCCTCTTCACGATCTGGCCTGCTATCACTCCTCACGACTGGACTCTGTTCTCGACAGTGCCATCTCTCGCGGTCTACGGGGTTTCTATATTTTTTTCCTTCTGGGAAAAATAGGTAAACAGTAGGCGGCGGCAGTTCTTTATGCTTCGGGATTTGCATCGCCGTGAGACGTGTTTTCACTCAGATACATATAAGCGATCCGATTGTCTCGGGACACAGATCTTTTGCGTTCCTATCAAATCATCACCTTACAAGCCGCCACGTGTCCTCGTAGTACTAGACAGTAGATTACGTGTCAGGAACGGCAGAGAAGTGAAGCTCAGGGCCGGCTGTGTTGTGTGCAAGTGTAGCACTTGGCCTTAGTCTGGGTTGTGTTTTGTCAGGAGATTACGCGTCAGGAAGGGAAGAGCAGCGAAGCTCAGGGTGCGAGGTAGTCTGGGTTGTGCTTTGTGAGGGAGTTCTGTTTTTTGTGCAATACGTAAAGAATTTCAAGATGGTTGCGACGATTGAAGATTTGCGGGCACAGAGGAAGCTGCTGCCTATTTCTTGTGCAGAAGGGAGGATCGTAGAAGAGTTGAAGAAGCACGATATGCTGATTATTGTCGGAAAAACGGGGAGCGGGAAGACGACCCAAGTTCCTCAGTTCCTTCTCTCTGCAGGTTTCGGCCGCTCCGGACGGATGATAGGCGTGACGCAGCCGAGGCGAGTTGTTGCCATTTCGGTTGCGTCTCGTGTCGCGGCTGAGATGGGTGTACATGTAGGGGGTAAGGTCGGTTATTCCATTCGTTTCGAGGACGTAACGTCGCCAGCCACGGCGATGAAGTATTTGACTGACGGCATGCTTCTGAGGGAGATTTTGTTGGATCGCAGTCTTTCCAAGTACTCTGTCATCATCGTCGACGAAGCCCACGAGCGGACGGTCAATACCGATGTGCTCTTTGGGCTGTTGAAGAAGCTGATGATGGAGCAAAGCTCCTTGCCTGGTTCGGGGGAAAGAGGGGAGGGTAATGCAGCAGCAGCAGTAAACTCGGCGGCGGCGGCGGCGGCGGGCAAGGACAAGGACAAAAAAATGGCCGCTAGAGGAGAGGGGAGGGTGTTGTGCGAGGGAGACCTGGGGAGGAAGGGCGACGAGGAGGGAGAGGAGAGGAACACGCAGAAGAAAGCGAAGAAGAATAAGAAGTGGAAGGGCGAAGAGGAGGGAGATGAGAAGGGAGAAGGAGAGAAAAGGAACACGCAGAAGGAAGCTAAGACGAAAAAGTTAAAGCGGGAAGAGGAGGAAAAGGAGGAGATGAAGGGAGGTAAAGGTAGGGATGAGGGTGGTGCAATTTACGAACAGCAGGACGTTAACGGCAGCGCGTCGCTCCTCTGAAGCTGATTAAAATGTCGGCCACTTTGGAGGTGGGCCGTTTTGCAGAGTTCTTCCCCGGTGCAAGGATTCTCCACGTGGAGGGAAGGCAGCGTCCTGTGGAGACCCTGTATTCCTCCAAGCCGATGGAAGATTACTTGGACGCGGCGATGGTCACGGCGATGCAGGTTCACCTTCGCGAGGCTCCAGGCGACGTCTTGGTTTTCTTGACCGGTCAAGAGGAGATCGAGTCGTTGGAGAGGACGCTGAAGGAGAAGGCCCGCTCGATGGCCGAGCTACGGAACATGGTCGTTGTGTCCATGTATGCCGCCATGCCAAGCGTGCAACAGATGCGAGTTTTCGATCCGGTCCCAGCTGGACATCGAAAGGTTGTTCTGGCGACCAACATCGCCGAGACGTCCCTAACCATCCCGTGGATTCGCTACGTGATCGACCCTGGGCTGGCGAAAGCTCGAGCATACGATCCGAAGGTGGGCGTGGAATCGTTGATCGTTGTGCCTGTGTCCAAGGCGCAAGCAAGGCAGCGGGCAGGACGAGCGGGGCGCGAGGCCCCTGGCAAGTGTTACCGCCTCTACGTGGAGGAGGATTTCTCTCAGCTGGAAGACTCCACAGTTCCGGAGATCCGACGGTGCAGCTTGGCGAGCGTCATCTTGCAGCTGAAAGCCCTCGGGATCGACGACGTCTTAGGGTTCGACTTGATGGATAAACCCCCGCGGGCGGCGATCGTGCGGTCGTTGGAACAGCTCTATGTTCTAGGCGCCCTCACGAACGAAGGCCGGCTGTCCCATCCTATCGGCCAGCAGATGTCGCAGTTGCCTCTGGAGCCGCTGTACACCAAGGCAATCCTGACGGCGGCTAATCACCGCTGCATTGAGGAGATGATAACCGCAGTGGCGATGCTGTCGGTCGATTCCATCTTCTACAGTCCCAAGGAGAAGCAGGCGCAGGCGCTGGCGGCGAAGAGGTGGTTCGTGAGCAAGGATGGAGACCACCTCACGGTTATAAACTTGTTCAGATCCTTCGTCGAAGAGGCTTGTCGGGGCTGTTCAGATCCTTCGTCGAAGAGTCTTGTCGGGGCTGTTCAGATCCTTCGTCGAAGAGGCTTGTCGGCGCTGTGAAGGTGGTCAAGGTCAAGATCAAGATCTCGGTAGTAATCAGGATGAGAATCGGGATCGGGATCGGGATCGGGATCGGGGTTTTGAGAAACAGAATAGTGAAGAGGAGGAGGAAGAGGACGGGGAGGGGAGGAAGAAGAGCAGGACTCGCAAGGGTGGACGGCGAGATCGTGCTCATCTTCCCACCTCTCGCGTTGACGTGGATGTGGGAGGGGCAGGAGGAGGAGGAGGAGGAGAAATGAGTGCAGTGCCGCATAAACAGCAGCAGCAGCAGCAGCGGTCCGGTAAGCGCAAGCGGAGCAAAGGTGCTGAAGAGGCCATAGTGACTTGGTGCCGTCAGCACTTCGTGCATGCTAGGGCACTGCGTAAAGCCCTGGACGTCCGGAACCAGTTACGATGGTACTGTGAGGGTATGGGTTTAAGTCTGACGTCCTGTGGCGAGGACTTGACCGCGTTCAGGCGATGTTTAGCGGCGTCGTTCTTCCTGAACGCGGCTTGCAGGCATCCAGATGGAACGTACAGCGCCTTGGGTAGTGGGAAGACGGTCTCCATCCATCCCTCGTCGGTCATGTTTGGCGGGAAACCCGATTGTGTTGTCGTCGACGAAATGGTCAGGACTAATAGGTTGTACATTCGCAACGTGTCCCGCATCGACTCACTTTGGTTGGTCGAGTTTGCTTCGCAGTATTATAGAAGGAAATCCGTGACCAACCAATCCAACGGCCGGGGATTACAACGGCGCCAGTAAACGAAAGAACAATACACATTGATATCTGGTCCCTCGAAATAAAGAAGAAACTGTTAATAAGTGCACTCTGTGTGTGTGTGTGTGTGTTTGTGTGTGTGTGTGTGTGTGTGTGTGTGTGTGTGTGCTCGTGTGCGTGTGCGGCCGTACGGACTCTCGCATTTTATATCTCGTTGGATGTTCCGTGGGTGTAAAGCAGGAGCTTTCCCTTTTCTGAAGGAGCTTTATTACGTATGTTTTGTCTGGTATTAGGTGTTATTTCGATGACATTGCGGTTTGGTCATTGTCAGTTTGTGTTTCCTCTTTGATGGTTGATTGTCCTGGAGTGAGTTCAAAGAAGCAGGCGGTACTTTTTTGTGATCTGAGGAAAGGCATCACCGGGGGGACGTTTGGACTTTGGTTTGGTGGGGTCATCTGTCGGAGTTCGGTTTTCAGCCAGTAGGTCATCTTGTTGCTAGTAATTGGCCTTCACAGTGAAAGGCCTTCACAAGGAAAGTGTATACAATTCCGCTCGCTATGTGCTCTCTGCTCATTCGTCGATTGACATTCAGTCCTTTTGTTGTTAGTTTGTCAAGTCCTTGTTTTAGAAAAATGGCGGGGAGAGAACCGAATAGAACCGGATTTTTGACGGAGGGTTAGGGCCTAGTGGCGGATGTGTGGAGAGTTAGGCCCTGGTTGCACTACTCGCCATACGCCAAGATTTCGAATGCATCTGGACAAAATGATGTCCACGTGTAATCAAAATGTTGGTGGATGTGAGTAGTGCGACGAGGCAAAAGTAGAATCGTGTCCAACCGGAGGCCTGGTTGCACTTACTCGCCACTATATTTCTTCTACAGAAAAAAAAGTTTAAAAAAAATGTCTGCCTGATTTGGTTTGTGGAAGGGTCCGAAGGAGCGCCCTCCACAAACGGTCGTTGACAGGCGGTGAAACCCAAAACACTCACCATAACTTGTGTCGCAGGTGTGGCGAGCCGTCTGACACAGTTTTCATTCCCCATGTTGGGCAAGTAAGTGCAACCAAACTTGGCGTATGGAGAGTAGTGCAACTAGGCCCGTAGGACAGAGGGAGCTTTCGAGGTCTGGCATGTAGGGATTTGCATGTGGCAGTCTAGCTCGCCTCTCTGTCTCCGTGCAGGACTGACAGAGAAAATGGAGGGGTCCGAAGGAGCACCCTCCACAAACCGCCGTTGACAGACGGTGAAACCCACAACACTCACCACTTGTGTTGCAGGTGTGGCGAGCCGTCTGACACAGTTTCCATTCCCCATGTTTGGCGAGTAAGTGCAACCAGGCGCCTACCCACCAAACTTGGCGTATGGCGAGTAGTGCAACTAGGCCCGTAGGACAGAGGGAGCTTTCGAGGTCTGGCAGGTAGGGATTTGCATGTGGCAGTCTAGCTCGTCTCTCTGTCTACGTGCAGGACTGACAGAGAAAATGGAGAGATTCAGGTTATGGGTGAGAACAGCAAGTGGGAAATGCACGTGCGAGTAGCAGCAGTGGCAATGTACGTGGTAAATGCGAGTTGTAGTCGGAATTTGAAGGTGACCAGGGCACCCAGCCCATGTGGCTGAACGGTACACCCGTCAGCTGTTGACAAACAGACCTGAGTTCGAATCCTGGGTCGACTCAGATGAGTGAAAGTATAATTCTGAATCTAGAGCTGGTTTCAGTTGGATTATGATACTGCACGGCCGTCGCCCCTTTGAACACTCGAAGGGGAAAAAAAGAAGGTGAGCAGGGCTGGTACTGGGAAGGGAACTGGCACTCCGAACAGGGATGGTAGTGGAATGGGAGTGGGGGTGGGAATGCGAATGAGAATGGATCTGACAATCAGAATGGGTCAGTAAACATAACTACGCTGTCGCTCGTCTGGTCTGTTTGTCGAAATGTGGAGGATGGGTCTGACAATCAGGATCGGACCAACTGGCCTACCTCAGTTGGTACACCCATGAACTGTTGAAATGAACATAACTACGCTGTCGCTCGTCTGAGTCCAGTAGGATTCGAACTGTGGTCTGTTTGTCGAAATGTGGAGGACGATGGGTCTGACAATCAGGATTGGACTAACTGGCCTACCTCAGTTGGTACACCCATGAACTGTTGAAATGCAGACCTACCTGAGTTCGAATGGGAATGAAATTAGACCAGTAAACGGAACTCCAAATTTACATGGAGCCAGGGCGAAGTGGGAACGAAATTAGATCAGTAAACATAACTCCAAATTTACATGGAGCCAGGGCCAAGTCCCACTAGCAGGGGTTTCGTTCACTGAAAAAAAAAAAAAAAAAAACCTCTTTTCTGCGGCCGCTAGATTCGTGGGCTGCCTGAAAAGATTTGCTATATCAAGTATGTCGGGAGAGAGGAACGGTAAAGAGAGGCGTGACAACTAACAAAGACCAACCACAGATTTTTTCCGAGACATTGGGCGTCGCTCCAGAAAAAATCATGCTGGCCAGTGCCCATCCGCAGGATGCCAACGAATCAAAGACCAGCGGCCGAGACATTGGGCGTCGCAGGAAAATGTCTCAGGCATTCTGGCCAGTGCAGGCAATGCGGAAGTGCTGCTGCGCTATCGCTTGATGATGTGTTGCTGCCAAGGGCGCTGACGGGGCGCATAGTGGTGAAGTCGAGCGCTGCAGGGCAGCAGGGTGCAGGCGGCCATAGCCGGGCTGCTGGGCGCCAGGGGGTACAGTGGGCGATCTGGTGATCTTCAGGGAAGGAGGCGAGTGTGGGGTAATGAAGGTCTGATTGAGGGTGACGAGATATGTACCTGGTGCATGAAGAGAGGTCGGCTATGAAGTTGACAGTCATGTACATTGGTCTTCGAGAGTGGAAGTGATCGAAGTGAGGCTGTTGCGTGAACCAGCTGTAGGTAGGATAGTTGGGCAGAGTAGGTTGGGCGTTGGGCGCCAGACAAAGAGGATCGACTTTGGATACTGTATTGGTGTGGCCTATGGGCTTGAACATGGACTCTTTACTTCATTGTATTGCTCTATATGGATGGTTTCTCGGTGCATTTTGTACTCTCTGCTTCGATACGACTACCTGGACATCTGTGTGATTTCGCAACATTAGTTTTTTGTATATCGTTCACACTCATTCTTCTTGCAATCAAGCCAAGAGGCTGGGATCCCGGGGCACTCTGGTGATGTGATAAAGGCCTCACATCCGAGCCGGCCGGCATACACTGAGGGGCGTGTCCCTTGCCTCTATGAGGCCATCTGACCTAGCATATTGAGAATGGAAGAATGCCCCTAGGAGGACACTTGGTTTGCGTTGCAAAGGAAGAAGGGCTCTCAACGAACTCCCTTGACGTGGAGTAAAAAATGGACGCCTGCCTAGAACCGCGAGACTACCCACCCTAGAGTGAGGGCTGAGCTACATCCCCCAATGTCAAAGCCCTCTCACTGGCCCATCCCCACCCATCTCAAAGCACTAGGTGGGGGTGACCTCGTGACGGAGCGCCCCACACCCCTGACTTGTACATGGGCAGGGCAGAGCCAACTGGTATCCCTTCCGCAAAGACGAAGAGGGGTGACGAGGCTGGAAAGTCTAACAGGGTGGTAGATTGGAGTCCTAGGTGTTTAGGTTCTTGAGGGTCTGTTGCCGAAGCGTTGTAGGCCAGTAGGAGTTGGATACGGAAGCGGCGTAGGTCGATCAAGGTCCGCGAGTTCGGATAGGAAAAGCGAAGTTCCAAAATCCAGTTTTTGCAGCCGTGTCCCAAGGCAGACCAAAAACATTCGGACGTGTCCAGAACATGCAATAGACATGCCATGGGCGACCAGTACCAGTCCTAAGCAGGCAAAGCTAGTCAACAATTGCTATTTATAGCTGCTACAGTGCCAAGGGAAGGCAGTTGTTCAAGTCGCAGGTTGGACAAGCACTGCTGGTTGCTGGTGCGGACAACGAATTGGTCATCGAGTGCCGAGGAAGGAAGTCGGGTGCTTGACCACCTCCATAGCCAGGGTTGAGTTGGGGTTTGAGGGCGGCCATAGCCGCTGAGGTCAGGGGAGACGGAGTGGGTGTATTCAGGGTAGATCGTAGTTAGAGGAGGAGAGAGTGCAGAGCGTTTGAGCGGCAGTAGCAGTGTTACATGCTGTGCCTGCAACAGGCTGCACGGGCCATTTTCAGGCCCGTGTCATTTTCATTCTGAAAGCCTGAAAACGAGGGCCTACAGACCCCGTTTTGTTTTCAGGCCAAAAGCCTGAAAACAAGGGCCTACAGGCCCCGTGTCAGTTTCAGCCTGAAAGCCTGAAAACAAGGGCTTACAGGCCCCGTGTCAGTTTCAGCCTGAAAGCCTGAAAACAAGGGCCTACAGGCCCCGTGTCGTTTCAGCCTGAAAGCCTGAAAACGGGGGCCTACAGGCCCTGTGTCGTTTCAGGCTAAATCAGGGCCTTTCTGGCCCTGAGTATTTTCAGTCTGAAACTGAGTGCCATTTTCAGGCCCTCATCAGTTCGACCTGTCTTGAAACTCAGGCACCAGACCAGGGTTTTAGCTCAGGCCATTTTTGGCCTATTTTCAATACAACCTTTGTTTGAGCTTCAACCCCGGGGTCTGGCACGTTTTGGCATTGGCAAGAGCAGCCTCCAGGACGGGCCAGCACTATATAAGATTGGCCCGCCCTGCAGGCTGCAGGTAGTTGGGAGGTAGTTCATAGGTACTTCCCAGGCACTTCACGTGCAGTTCAGGAGGCAGGAGGTAGTCTTCAGGATTCGGCAGCAGCACTCTGGAGGAGCGCTGCAGGAGTAGTATTAGCGCTAGCAGTAGTCTTCAGCGCTGGGCGCTTTGTAGCGTTAGCAGTAGTCTTCAGCGCTGGGCGCTTTGTAGCGTTAGCAGTAGTCTTCAGCGCTGGGCGCTTTGTAGCGTTAGTAGTAGTCTTCAGCGCTGGGCGCCATAGCTAGAGTAGTACTAGAGAGAGAGATTGGGCGGAGACCAGGGATGCTTACCTGCAGTGCCGTTGCTCCAGCTTCGTCTTTGAGGTACCTGCAGCGCAGCGCCATCTTCACAGGTTAGTACATGACACATGAGAGAGAGAGTTCTTCTTCTTCCTCTTCTCAGTCCACCATCTCCTTGTCACCCTCCCGCTATCTGACTTCACTGCATCAGCAGACTAAGAGAGAGAGAGAGAGAGAGAGAGAGAGAGAGAGAGAGAGAGAGAGAGAGAGAGAGAGAGAGAGAGCTTGGTGACATTTCCATCCAGACTCGACTTTGGACTTCAGACATATCGAAGAGGGATTATTTGGGACTTGAAACGAGACTTGGTGTTGACGACTTTCCCATCTCCCCCTTCCTCTTCTTCGTCTGATCCCCTCCTCTTCGTCTGTGTGTGTCTGGACCTGGCGCCTCTTTCCTGTGTATAGCACCAGGCTCCTTCACACCTTGTGATGGACATGATGCATGTTTGGTCTGCGTTTTAACATTGATTGGGCTAGTCATTTGCATTCTAGCATTCTGTTTTGCTATCTTGTGCTACGTGAATGAGGTCAGTCCCGGTCAGGTCAGGACTTGTAAAGTCTTCCCTGCGCTATAAAAGCACCATTTTGTATGTATCGGAATGCGCATTGCTTGTGGAGATTCTACTTGCACCGCATTGTCCATTCAGTCCTTTTTGTCACATTGTGGATCCTCGGTTATTATGTACATCGCCCAACTGGGCATGTAACAATCAGAGAGAGAGAGAGAGAGACCCTGATTCCTATGTTTGGGTTTTGAAGTAGACTCTCCCGCTTATGCTGGGGTCGCGGCCGCGAGACCGACTCCTGATGTCTCTGTGACATCTAAGTACATACTAGACTCTCACTCCTATGTATGGGGAGAGGGGGGTGCGTTGGCCGACTCCTGCTGTCTGTGTATTTTTGTAGTCATGAAAGCTTCATTGCTAATGATTTACCTGCCATGAGAATTTGAAGCTGCCCTGTACAATACAACACTTATTTGGAAACCATTTATTGCCTTCCTTGTGATCTGCCTGGACAGGCCACCTTCTCTCTAATGTCTCCAATGCATTGTCGACGGATGAATGGATGGATGGATGGATGGATGAACAGGTGGAATTGGATTTCATCATTATCTCATTCATTAGGACAGGTTATCTCACTGGTTCAATTAGGTCAATCGACTCGGGAATCCAGAAGTGAGGGCAACATGGCTATTTTTCCTATTTTTTCCCCTCCCTTCTTCTTTTCTTTCTCTTAAAAAGGGCGACGGCCTCGAGATATCATCTCATCAAACTGCACGGCAATTCAGAAGCGTAGAATTTTACTCATCTGCGTCTAGTGGAGTTCGGACTCAGGTCTGTATTTCAACAGTTAAGGGGTGTACCAGCACGGCTGATTTGTTATTCTTGGGGTGTTTCTTTTCTTTGTTACATGGCAGGTCGCTGAGCTGGCCGAAGTGATTGCAGCGTCCTGTATTTAGGCCGGTTGTGTATTTAGCACAGTGTAGTCAAAATGGGTAGATCGAAAAAGTCATCCCGTGGGCAAGTTTTGGCGGGCAACCCTGCCACGAGTGGGACTGCAGTAAACTCACCTTCATCTCAGTGCTCCACAGCCTTACTCGCCTGGAATGGCCCGCAGCAGATGGTGCCAGGTGCAGGGATGCAGAGGCCAGCTCCATCCATGTCAACATGGGCCAAAGGATCAGTGGCTGGAGTGGGAGGGGTTGATGGAGAGTCCAGTTCTGACCGTGATTGGCCGTCATTTGGTGGAGGGAAGCTGTCAGCTGGAGGCCCGCAAGGGCGTGGACCTGTCTCATATGAAGGTGGCTCTGTGAACACACCTGGGTGGCCTGGAAATTGCCCAGCATCATGCATAAAGGGGGATATGAGGACGCAAGCTCCCTGGCATGGATCTGATCGAGGACCGCCACCTGCGAATTGCATGGTTCCAGTGGGTGCCACTGACAGTGGGGCAGTACGCAGCAGGTCGAACAGTGAAGCAGAAGGGCATGGCGTGGGTCCAAGTCATGGTCCTTGGAACTCGGCAGCTCTAAAAGGCAGTTGGGGCAGTGGACAGATAGAAGCGGCAAGTGGTGGAGGATATGGGAGCAGGGAGTTCCAGTTGGATCAGACGAAGGAGTCGTCCTGGGGGCCTGGTCGGAGTGGTAATGATCAGCTATGGTCTGTGGCAAGTCCTCGGACAGGGGACACAGCATTGTTCATCCCAGGATCCGTGAGGCCCTCCATAATTGCTGGTGCCAGAAACAAGTTGTGCAGTGGTTCTCACGATGATGAAGCAGAGGATGAAGACAATGAGCTGGAAGCATCTGATGTGGACATTGATGAAGACGACGAGTGGGAGATAACTGAAGATGAGCATAGGTGCTACGAAAAAAAGTTTTATGGTGGATTTATGGAAAGCCTTCGCAAAATGGACACTGACAGGTTTGACTCATCTAGTTGTGAAGGATGTTGTCCTGTGTGTAAGACAGTTGACCATTTTGTGAAATTGTCCTCCTTTGAGCAGCATGCGAAGACAAAAAAGTCAAGGAGACGAGCACACCAAGCATTCGCGATTGCAATTGCAAGATTGAGGGAGGCGAGAGCGAAGGAGGGATCAAGTAGCAAGTTGTCGTCGGCAGCACAGATTTGGAGGTCCTTGGAGGCGAGCGCAGATGTCCAAATTGTCTGGCCTCCATGGGTTATTGTTCAGAACACGAGGAAGGACAAAGACGCGAGCGGCAAATGGGTGGGGATGGGTTCGAACGAGCTCCGGCCTCTCTTCAAACAGTATGTGATCGAGAAAGAGAAGCATTCGTATGGACCCGATGGCCATCGTGGGATGAGTGCGTTGGAGTTTGAGAGCACCCCTGCTGGCTACCTGGCAGCTCTGGACCTCGACGAACACTTCCGAAATGAGGGAAAGGGACGAAAGGAATGGGAGTCGGCGAGAAGGGTGCTGAGTGGATCAGTGAACAATGACGGTTCCCAAAAGAACCTGTTTGGCTACCTGGCAACGGAGAAAGACATTACAGAGTTCAATCGTCACTGCAGTGGGAAGAAGAACCAGAGAGCAATAAAATACAACATGGTCAGCCGGCGTGAAATGGTCATAGAGCCACAAAGGTGCAAGGACGAAGAGAGCCGAAATATCGACGAGTTGAAGTCCAGAGCCATGATTGCTCAGGAGACTGCTTACAGTCTTGAACGACAAAAGAAAGAGGCAGAACGACAAAAGAAAGAGGCAGAGCAACGATACAGTCAGGCGACAGAGGAACTAAATACTCAGAGGGATTGGTTTCGCGGGCAAGAGGAAGTACACAGATCTAAGGTAACGTATCTTTACGTGTCTTGCTTGCAATCAGACTGGTCTTCGACCACACTTGCTACATGCATACATACAGGTGCCAATGGCATAATAACTTTCTCGAAGTAGAATCAGCAACAAAAGTGAGATGGCATATTGTGCCCACACAGAAAACACAGAGATATGGCCTTCGGCCAGAAACTCAGCTTAAGTCAACTTGTCACATCTTGCAGCTATGGGGTCTGAGCACCAGTCCGAACCTCCACCTTCACAATATGTCCACCATCAGACACACCCACACTTCACTCGCACACGTGCACACACACTAGGATCTGCCCTGAATGTCCACGCACACCCTACTAACTACTAACTATGTTCCACTGGCGGCTATGGCTGCCGTCGTCTTCTTCCTCACTAGCGGCTATGGCTGCTCGGCCTCTTCCACCTTCGGGCTTCTTGCTGACCGCCGAACACAACGCACAAGGCACTCGGGCAGCACTTCCACGTAGTTCCCCAGATAATAAGTGAATGACTGATTGCTGCCTCTTTATTTATACTGTTTCGTTTGGTGGTCTGGGCCTGCCGATGGCCCAGACCCTCAAGATGTGCAGTCCCACTCTGATACTTGCTGCAAAAACGGACTGGACTGGGACTGCCCCTTCGTTTGCCCCTTTGGGTCTGCCTTGGGACTCTGGACCTTTCAGAGATCGACAGACTGTGGGTTCAGCCTACGAAAGGTCCGGTTGACTCTTTCGAGGACTTCTCTAGCCATGGCGTAGTGACCCTTCAGAGGACTTACAGACGACCCTCTGGACTCCTAAACATCTAACCTACGGAGCAAGTATTTATACTGTTTTGTTTGGTGGTCTGGGCCTGCCGATGTCCCAGACCCTCAAGATGTGCAGTCCCACTCTGATACTTGCTGCAAAAACGGACTGGACTTGGACTAGGGTTTGAGAGATCACTTCCTGGGCATGAAAGACATTCCTCTGCTGTAGCCAGTAAGTTGTCCTCCAGATGTGACAAAATCAGCCTGGTCACCCTGGTGGGAATGAACCTGGTCCTCTGCACGAGGAAGTGCAGAGACTGTGCTTTGGCATCTGCACATCCAGGTGAATTCAGATAGCACTAGGGTTTGCATTTCGAAACCCTTTTCTTGAAAGTCTTTTGGCATAGAAGACCCCAGGGAGGGGTGCCAATTCGATTTTTACCTAGGCTACGACCCAGGCGGCCCTAATACCCCCTACCTCGCGCGGGACCCGCCCGGGACGCCCGGCCGGGCGGCCTGCCCGGTCCAACCCCCGGGCCACCCAGCACAAAATTGCGCACAGGCCTGCGGGGTCCTGTTTTTTTTTTTTTTGCCCCTGGGGCACAGAGACGGGCACTCCCTGCTCGGAGGCGCCGGGAAAAAAATCGGGGCCCAGCAGGCCCCTTTTTTTCTATTCTAATCTGCGCCGTTGATCCAAGATGATCAATGTCTCAGGCTCAATCGGGGTTCGGATTCGAATTCTGCGCCCGTGGTTTGAATTCGAACTTCGCACTGATGCAGCATCCTGCCCGCCTCGTGTAGCCACCCTCCCGCGCGCCGTCCCATGGCCGTCGTCGTCGTCGTTCATCGTCGTTACCCCCACGTGGCTGCGCTGTCCATCACCGTTGCCCATATGTGTCGTCATCATGCTGGTCATCGCTGAAGGTGAGTTCGTTGTGCCCTCCTCCTCCTACTCTCACCGCCGCTCCATCCTCAACCATCTCGTTGCCCTTCTACTCCTTCAGAAGTCTTCCTCCTCTGCTTGTATTTCTTCTTCCGTGCTTCTTCTCGTCGTCATCCTCGCCCTCGTGCTTTCTTCATCGTCCTCCTCCTTTCGTTGTCCTTGTCCTGCTTTCCTCGTCCACCTGCTTTCCTAGTCCACCTGCTTTCTTCGTTCTTGTTGGTGATGGTGTGTGACATGGCAACGGGACGAAGAAAAGAGTAGTAGTAGGAGGAGGAAGAAAGGACTTGGCGATCCGAATTACGAACTCCTTTCCTTTTCCTCCTTCTCCTCCTCCTTTCTTGCTTCTTCCCCTCGTTGTCCTCCTCCTCCTTTCTTCCTTCTCCTGCTCCTCCTCCTCCTCCTCCTCTCCCTCGCCCTCCTTTCTTCCTTCGCCTCCTCCTCCACTACCTTCTCCTCTTCGTCCTCCTTGCTTCTTCGGAGTTCTTCCCCTCCTCTTCCTTTCTTCTGCTCCTCACTTTTTTTTTTTTTTTTTTTTGGTCGTGTTAGCGTCACCGTCATCACTTTTGCCACCGTGGCGAGACTTGGCCATGTGATGACAGAGTGATTGGTTAGGAACTTAGGAGGGAGATCGTGTTTGATGAAAGGGTTGGGRGGGGGGCGGGGATGTCCACGTGGCGAGAGAGGGTGAATGGAAATGACGAGGAGGGAGAAAGGAGGGGGGGGGGGGAAGGAGGAGGAGGTGATGGCAGTGATTGCGGATACCACAACCAGTTGCTTGGACCGGTATCACCAACCGCAGAACAACCCCACACTCCCCCACCCCGTTTCCCCCTCCCTCCCCACCTTCCCCAACCCACCAAAGCTCGACCCACACACATAAAAAAAAACAGTGGATTTGGGCACTTTAGGCAAAGCGCAAAAATGTGCTGCCTCCCCCCCCAAAAAAGAAAAAGAGAAAGGGCCGAAAATAAATCGCCCGGGTGCCCTGGGTGAGTCCGGGTGGGCACGGCCGGGCGACTTTCGTAGCCTAGGTTTTTAATATTTAGTAATTCTGCCAGCAATTTGTGTAAGCAAATAAGCAATTTTTTATGAAGCTTAGTATTTAGTATTTAGTATTTACCCATGTCTCTCTTCTCACAAAAACAACTACGAAAAATAAAATCACAAGTTAACTAAAAACAATAAAAAATTGTAAGAATGAAAATAAGCTAAAACAATGGAAGACCCGTGAACATTTTGGGGTCACAGCCAGTGCCACTGCCATGCCTGGTCCGTGCCACTCTGGCTGTCTTAGTCTTCTTTCTCTGGTTAGCACTTGAGCTATTGTGTATGTGAAAAACCAGTTTTGCTCAAGTTCAGGCAGGCGCTCTCCAGTATCTTTGTCCTCTGTTCTTCGCATTCATTGGAATGATGTGCTAGTATCCATAAGGGTGACAGCAATGCAACGTGCACCTTCCTCGCATGAAGCTGTATCGGTACTTGGGTTACATTCCTTGCTGGAAGGCTGCACGTATTGTCTGTCAGCTGGCTATTTTAACCACCTCCCTATTCTCAGGAGCCTAGACAGTGGGATGGTAGTGGAGAGCGACAGCGGAGAGAAAAGTGCTGTCATTTGCTTATGAGATTCAGAGAAGCAGCATATAAAGTGGGGTGGTAGTGGAGAGTGACAGCGGAGGGAATAGTGCTGTCATTCTCTTATGGGATTCGAGGGAAGTGCAGGAGGAAGCTCTCAAGCAGATGAGAGATTCCCTGGTAGCAGCAACTGACCACTTAGTCAAGACCCATTGATGTCAGCGAGTGTCTTTTCCTATAAATTATTCCTCACCTAAAAACATCACAGGAGGCAGCAACTGACCAGTCAAGAAACACATTGATGTCTGCAACTGCATTGAGCCTCTCTGCTCGTCACCATGAGCGCATACACATTCACACACAATGAGAGATCACACGAAGTCCACACTGGAGGCCAGAGATGCAAAGACCGCAATAAGCGCAGCTCAGATATCCCAACAGATTATCTGGACTCTGATTCCAGCATCCTCATTCAAGGTAAGTGACTCTCTTCTCTCTGTGTATCCTAGCCCCACAATTGGCTAATTGGCGTGCTGCAGTCTTGCGTCACTGTGAGTGCAACATGACTACCGCATCACCATTGCGACAGCCTCGCTCTTTGCGGCACGCGCATATGGCCCTGCGTTAGCTTCAAGAATCCTTTGCGATTGTTCCTGTGGACAAAACATCACATAATTTGGCTATTTGCTGTAAAAATTGGTACAAATTCAAACTGTCAAGCCACCTTGACAGTCCTACGTATTCTCGGCCTGCTGAATCAGTGGCTGACATTCTGAATAGCCATGCAGTTTGGAACAATCATTGGAATTATCCTCATGCTGACACATTGCCGTATCTCTATTGTGTTCTTAAGGCCCATAAATCTCCTCCCACACTTCGTCCTATTCTTGGTATCACTGCCCGAAACAATCTTTCTTCTTCCTCTTCCCATACGGCCCGGCGAAGTGACCTACACCCTTCCCAAYGAGTCCAGCGTTTGCATCATCGACCGCCTCACAAGCCGGTAGCTAGTACAACACCTACTTCGGCTCGTTTGAGTACAGCACTTCAAGGCGTCATCCGTACTCTTCGCGAAAAAGATAATCAACTCTTTCGAACCGAAGGTATTCGACGATGTTGGATTGTTCAGAGCAGTGACGAGGTCATGCTTGACCTCAAAAAGAATAAAGCTTCTCTTAGAGGTCTGGCCCCGCATACAGTTGATTTCACTACTATGTATACTAATCTTTCTCATCAACGAATTCTTGACAATGTGGCTAATGCCGTTGATGAGGCGCATGCCTACGTTCTTACACAGGTACGGCAGCATACACAGACACGCTCATTGGGTGTTGCTCTTCGTATGCTGGTCCGTGGACCCCGTGCAGGGGAATGGACTACGGATACGGGACCTGACACTCTTTCTGTTTCTGACATTCTTCAACATCTTCGGTTTATTGTTACAAATACATATTTGTATACAGCAGATGGCCTTGTTCGTCATCAAGATGTCGGTATCCCTATGGGTACGAACGCTGGTCCTGAGATTGCCATTCTTACACTCTATTGGGATGAGGCGCAGTACGTGGACAACCTGCAGCGTGTGGATTCCTCTGCTGCTCGCCGATATGCTTTTACATATCGGTTCATTGATGATGTTCTTACCTTTGATTGTCTGCCACCATCATCAGCCCATTATGGTCTTGAATGGAAGGAGACCACTGYGGCAGATGGCTCGTGCACCTTCTTAGGTGCGAAACT